AGATGTTTAAATGAATTGAAAAATATTAAGAAAAAAATATACACACATAAAAGTAATAGACATTGGAAAAATACATTTAAAGTAGGAAATAATATTAGGATCAAAAAAATGGAGAAAATGAAAAGATGTGTAGATGAATTGAAAAATATTAGAAAAAATATATATGCACACAAAGTAACAAACACTAAAAAAATACATATAAAGTAAAAAAATAATATTACACTGACCTTTTAATGATTTTCACAGATCATCAAACTTGCAAAATATAACAATCGAGAAGATGAGTTATTTTGAGAAAAGATAGATAGATGAGAGAATGATTGAATGTAATAATGGAGAAGATAAAAAGATATGTAGATAAACTGAAAAATATTGGCAATATATATATATATATATATATACAAAAGTAATAAACACTAAAAAAATGCATATAAAATAAGAAATAATATTAGGAGCATAAAAATGGAGAATATGAAAAGATGTGTAGATGAATTGAAAAATATTAAGAAAGAGAAATATATACATACAAAGTAACAAACACTAAAAAAATACATATAAAATAAGAAATAATATTACACTGACCATGTAATGATTTTTCCAGATCATCAAACTTGCAAAATGTAGCAATGGAGAAAATGAGTTATTCTGAGAAATAAAAGATGGATAGATAAGAAAATGATTGAATTTGATTGGAATAAATTGAATAGAGGTGTGTGTGTGAAAGTTATAGGAGTTCCAGGTTTTTTTTTTTATTATTAAATTGAGATTGAGAGTGAGATAGATATTATTGTAGGTGATGGATATGGATGAATATTTTATTATTTGGGGATAAATATTATTGTTGGTGATGGATATGGATGATGGATATGGATGAATATTGTAATATTTTATATTTTATATAGGGAGAGAGAGAGTGGAAAGGCTTGAAGAATGAAAAGAGAGTTGAAAGACAATGCCACGTAATGTTTTTTTTCTTTCAAAATTATGAGAATTTAGAATTCAAGTTTTGAAATTTTTTGACTTGATATATAGATAGATAGATATCGATAGATAGATAGATTGTTGTTAGTTAAGTGTTAACGCATTGGGAGAGGTTAATTAGAAGGGAAACACTTAGGTAGCAATGTTTTGAAAACCGGATCGGTGAGTGAACCGGAAAAGGGACCGGGTGAACGGGTTACCGGTTCAACCGTCGGGTCAAAGCGGTCGAATTGTGACGTCATAATTAATATTATATAATTAAAAAATATAATTATAAATTATAAATAAATAAAAAAATATATAAATAATCAAATAAAAATAAAAATTGTTGCATAGTATTTATTAATAATATTTAATAAAGTCATAATTGATAAAAAAAAAGTCCACTTGTTTAAAAGAAATTATGAATTTTTAAACATTCCCTTCCAAGCAAATTGACTTGAATGTTAGGATTTATATTTGGAGGGGAAATGAAATTTTCTTATCTCTCCCAATCAATATGTTTGCAAATATTTGATTGAATCCCACAATAGATTTTGATAGGTTCTCTTCTTGAAAATCTTTTCCTATTAAATAGGAAGTAGACTTTCATATAATCTTTGTTCAACTGTCCAATGAGACTCTTCCTTATGAGAGAGGACTCTTGAAGTAAGAATTTTAGTCAAATTTTGAAATAATATTTATATTAATATACTATATATAAATATATAAGAAAGAAAAGAGAAAGAAAGAAAAAGAAAACAACGGTCTACCTCACCGAATCCGGTTCGGTCACCGATTTTCCCGGTTCGAGCTGCCAGGTTTTCTGTTTTGCCATTTCTGGCTGGTTTTTCTCCTACTTCCGGTTCTAAGGGGTTGACCGGACCGAAACAAGGCCCGTTCCTGGTTTGATCAGCCGGTCCCTGGTCCAGTTTCACAACATTGTTAGGTAGTATTTGGTTTGAAACTCAAATCAAGATTTGAGTCAAAAAAATTTCAAACTCATAATTAAATATATAATTCAAACTCAATTCAAAATTATAATTTTTTTAAAAAAAAATCATTTTTTATAATTTTCTTTTAAAAATTTCAAGCTTGTTTGGTTCCAGTTTTCAAAAAACAATTTTTAGAAAATTCTATCTTTTTTATTTTTCGTATTTTAATATTTCAATGAATGTTTTTAATATTTTTAAGCAATTTTCTTTATTTTTATTTTTAGACACCCTTAACATAAATACACTTAAAAAGTATAATATTTGTGAAAAAAATATTTAAAAAATTACAGTAAATACCAAAAAAAAATGAAAATTCAATACAGTTTCTCGATTTGTGTATAATAAATTTTTTTAAAATATTTTTTTACAAATATTTTACTATTTAGATACATCTAAGTAAGGTGCATCTAAAAAAGTAAAAAAATTACTTAAAATTTAAAAAATATTATTTATCTATCTATACATCTAAGTAAGGTGCATCTAAAAATATTATTTAACTAAAAACTAAAAAAAACTCAGTTTTCAGAAAATTAAATTCAAAAAACTGAAACCAAACCCACTGATTATTTTTTTTATTTTTGAAGAAAATTATTTTTTGTTTTTTTTTCAAAAATATATACATTTTTTAAGTATTGCTCAAATAATTTGTTATGATTTGGATATATATGGGCGATCCAAACTTTTTTTAAATTTACCAAAAAGTTAAAAAATAAATATTTTAAAAATAAATATTTAAAATAAAAATAATTTTTAAATTTTTAAAAAATATTTAAAATATACAAAAAAAATACAGAACACAAATGTAGTAAATACAACGCACATTAAAAAAATATTTACAATAAAAAATATTTACCCTAAAAAAATAAAATTGAGAATTTTTTAAAATATTTTTAAAAAGATAAATAATATACAAAAAAAATACAGAACACAAATGTAGTAAATACAACGCACATTAAAAAAATATTTACAATAAAAAATATTTACCCTAAAAAAATAAAATTGAGAATTTTTTTAAATATTTTTAAAAAAATAAATCTAAAAAATTTTAAAATATAACTCAAAACTCAAAATATAATTCAAAACTCGTTCAAAATTTAAAATTCTTTTTAAAACTTTTGTCAAAAAACACATTTCATGACCTCCACGTCACCATGCGTTGTAGGCATTGGGTTGTGTGTGTAGAGGCAATATTGCTTGTGTTTGGGAAAATGGGTTGGATTGGGTTTGGGGCTATTTTAGTTATAAAAAGATAAAATAGATTTTTTAGCTCAATAAGAGAAAATATCACATTCAATCCATAATCATTATATTCTTTCTTTCACAAAAAGTTAAATAAATTAAAAAATCTTTCTCAAACAAAACTTTTTAATCCTAAATTAAAATAATGAAAAATTAAAAAACCAAGTCACTTCCCAAAGCAACCCATTGTCTTTTGTCAACCCAACATCATTTAGGGATTTTTTTTTAGGGTCCCTGGTATTAAGACTTTATAGTATAAAGGACATCTAATATTTTCATAATGTCTAAGGTCCCTTAATATGATCCAGAGAAATTCTGGTCCAGAGAAATTCTGCTTCAGAGAAATTCTCTTCAACCCAGAGAAATTCTCTGTTTCTCTCTAGAGAAATTTTGTTTTTGTTGAAATGCCTTCAAAAGCACAAAGCTAAACATTAAGTTTATGTTTCTATCAAAGAGACATTTTAACCCCAGAGAAAATCCCCTCCAACCAAAGAAATTCACTTGTAATCCCCTTGAAACAATGAAAAATACCTGGAAACAGAGCAAGCCATTTAATCATTTGAGCTTCAAGTCCAGATTTTAGCCTTTGTAACTTCCTGAATTTATTTCAAATTCTACACAAGAGTTTACTTCATTTTTGTTATCAATGCATTGTGGTAAGAGAACCACATTTTTATGTTTCACAAGCAGTCTCATTCAACCTTGGGTTCTTCTTCTACCTTTGCACTGCTGTTGCCATTCTCTCTTGAAGTATCATATTTGTTGTTGTCACCATCATCATTTGAAGCTGCATCTGTACTTGTTTGGTGGTGGATGAGGATTTCCTTGGTCCAACTGCGCAACTTCTCTGCAATATCCTTATCTGCTTCAAAGAAAATTGGGTTGGTCCAGAGAAATTCTCTGAGTTGAACTAGTGCTTTGCTTTAGAGAAAATTGAGTTGGTCTAGAGAAATTCTCTGGTTTGGTCCAGAGAAATTCTCTGGTTTCCAAAGCTTCCACATATTATTATTAAAAATAGTTGCTAATGCAATTCATATTCGAAGAGTGGGTGAACAAGTGAACAAGGCGGTGATGGCAGCAAACAAAAGGGCAAAGCTTGCGATTCAACATCAGGGGGTGGTTTGGAGATGCAACATGACATAGAGGTTGATGATGGAAATAAGATAAATGACAAACTCTATGCTGAAAAATCTTAATACCCGGGACCAATTCAGAGAAAATTTCAATCCAAATCAGAGAATTTCTCTGGACCAACCCATCAATATTTTCATAATGTCTAAGGTCCCTCAATATCGATCCAGAGAAAATTCGATCCAAAGAATTTCTCTGAACAAATCACAGAGAAAATTCCAAATTTCTCTGAACACATCATAGAGAAAATCTCACCAGAGAATTTCCTTAGATTTAACCTAGAGAAATTTCCTCTCCATTCTAGAGAAATTTCCTCAACCCCAGAGAAATCCCCTCCAACTAGAGAAATTCACTTGCGTTGTCTGTAGTTTGATGGCTTCAGTGATTTGGATGCATATTCATAGAGAAAATCTCACCAGAATCCAGAGAAATTCTCCAAAACTAGAGAAATTTTCTACATCACCTAAAAAAAATACAACCCGAAAACAATGACTTGAATTATTGAATGTCTCTGCATCATCCATTCATCCATCAATCCCAAAAACCCAACTCAGTCAAATCTACAATTAACCAACTCTCTGCATATTTGTCAAGTTCCTTTTTAAATTCTGTTTTTGGTCTCCTCAGTGAGAATTCTATTCCATCACAAGTTGCAGATACAATTCTGGGAAGGAAATGATCATGAAGGGCAAAGCTTGCGATTCAACATCAGGGGGTGGTTTAGAGATGCAACATGACATAGAGGTTGATGATGGAAATAAGATAAATGACAAACTCTATGCTGAAAAATCTTAATACCCGGGACCAATCTAGAGAAAATTTCAATCCAAATCAGAGAATTTTTCTGGACTAACCCAAAGAAATTTCAGTTCAAACCAGAGAATTTCTCTAGACCAACCCAGAGAAATTTCAGTAAGAATCCAACAAAAGCATACACAAAGATGAATTACAGTTCCCTGAAGGAGGAGGTATTCGCTCTATGACAGTAGGAAGGACCTACTCTAGACCTTGACCCGTCTTGGCAGATGTCAAAAGACAATCACTTGGGTCAAGGTCAAACATGGATTTTAGCTGAGCTTTAACACGATCTGGATCAGCAGTTGGCTGGTCAATTTTGTTTATGACTGGGATTATTGTCAAGTTAGATTAAAAAACAAGATAAAAGTTATCAACAGTTCACTCCATTGAGTGAATAAGCAATAATAGCAACCTATATATATACAGAAAACAATTAATGAAGAACATAAACCAGTTATCGTCTTCTTCTTCCCCAAACTCAACGCCTTCATATTGTACTGTGGGGACGATGCAGAACACGTTGATATCATTCAGGGGATTGAAAGAGGCGATGCTTTGCCTGGATTGAGGAGTTACGATCAGATTGCGGAGATTACGAAGAAGGTAGGGTTTGAGGTTGTGAAGGAGAAAGATTTGGCGAAGCCTCCGGCGAAACCGTGGTGGACGAGGCTGAAAATGGGGAGATTTGCGTATTGGAGGAACCGCATTTTGATTACAGTGCTTGCTTTTCTCAGGATTACTCCGAAAGGTGTTGTGGATGTTCATGAAATATTGTTCAAGACTGTTGATTATCTAGTTAAAGGGGGTGAGACTGGGATTTTCACTCCAATGCACATGATCCTCTGTAGAAAACCGGAGAAGAAGACCGAGATTCGAACTGAGAACTAGGGGCATTTCGTACTGATGAGGTTGATGATTGGGGGGCATCGAAGAAGTTTTTATCTAGTAATGGTTTTGAGATGAGAGATAAATGAGAGAGAGGAGGGTTTTTTTGGGTCTGAGTCTAGGGCTGATGATTTTGAGAGTTGGGTATCGAAGAAGAGCTTAGAAATGTGTTCATGTGTGTAGAAGGAGAAAGCGAGAGACTGGAATTTCTGTGGATATACGGGTATAGGATTAAGGGACCTTAGATATCACAAAATAATATTGTGGATCTCTTCCATCACTAAAAGTAGGAGAGGGACCTTAGACTAATTTTCCCCATCATTTAAACAAAAGTGCTGCTAAATGCCCTCTTTTAGGGGAAAAAAAATATATAAAAAGGTAGGAGTCCAAAGAAAAAAGTAGCTGTATTCAGTAGCACTCTTTAAACATAGGGTATGAGTCTCCTCTATATCCTTATCCTCCATATTTTTCCATACGTTATTTTTTAGGTTCCATTTTAGGTCCATGATGATAATTTAAATTGTTCATCTTATAAATCTCATAATGAAAACCGTATGTACAAAAAATCAACCTCATCAGATATCGATGAATACATAAACCAATCACTTTTTGTTTTATAGAATAAAAGGTTTAAATTTAAACTCACAATTATTGTCCATTTTGAAAAAAAACAAGATGCAATTTATTCATATATCTAGTAATATATGAAGAAATTAATTTTTTGCATAATTCATCTAAATTGTTGATATTATAATATAAACGATTTAGATTATTAATATGGGTTTAGAATAGAACCCAAAAACTAAGTATGAAAAAATCTGGAGAATAAGAGTATGGATGAGAGTCATTTCTTTAAACATATTCTCTAATACACCAAAAAAAAAATTATATCCATCGTTTCAAACAAAAAATTAAAACAACCTATTAAAATAATTAATAATAAAAAATTTAATTAAAATAATCTATACCCAAACCAAACCTAAGTGAGGGAATTCACAAGACTCAGAAGTAGGAATGACAACGGGCCGGGCCGGGGCCGGCGCTGGGGTCGGGACTACACTCCCCGTCCTCGATCCCCGAAGGCTAAAAAATCCCCGTCCCTGTCCCCGCCCCCAATCCCCGGTGGGGGAACCCATCAACTCCCCGTCCCCGTCCCCGTCTCCTAACGGGGATCGGGTTTTCCTGACCCCGAAAAATCCCCGAGTTTTTTTTTGAATTTTGTTCAACACAACAACAAATCAATATATGTCACTATGTTTTGTCATCATCAACAAATCAATGTGTACACAGTAACACAGATCAGATCACACACAGATTTAAATTAAAAAAAAAATTAATCTGAAAAAAAAATCTATTTTTAACAACAATATGTTTCATCATCATCAATAAATCAATATGTGTACACAGATCTTTGAACTCTTTGTTGTAACCAAGTGTTAACTTGGAAAGCTGTAAGCCCGTAGGGCATTTTGTTATGAGGTTAACATGTAATACTTATGTCTTGGAATTCTAATGAATGAAAGGAATGCAGTTAGTTTAAATGTAAATGCATGTCTTACCTGATGGGTTTATTGTTATTATTTTGAGGGCGTTACATCAGATCACACACAGATTTAAATTTAAAAAAAAAATTAATCTGAAAAAAAAATCTGATTTCAACAACAATACTAGAGAGACAGATCTAAGGACAAAGATCAGATCACAGAGAGAGAGAGAGAGAAAGAGATAACAGATCTGAGTTCAGATCTAACAGATTTGAGCGACGCCAGTGACCAGACGTGAGATCGACGGTGGCTGGTTGTGGAGGTGGGTTTGGTGATGGTGACAGACCTTCTGCGGCGGTGGCGATGGCGGTGGCGGTGGCCATGAGAAATAGAGAGAGAGAGAGAGAGAGAGAGAGAGAGTGGTCGGGGCCAGCGGTGGTAGTGGTGTCACCGTGTCGGTGACTGTGAGAGAGAGAGTTAACAGAGAGAGAAGAGAGAGTAAGGGAGAGAAGAACGAGAGTTGAGAGAGAGAAGAACGAGAGACTGAGAGAGTTGAGAGAGTGAGATGAGAGTCAGAGAGTGAAAGAGTGAGATGAGAGAGAAATATATAATTATATTACAACTAATAGGTAGTATATACGAGGGAAGCTTCGGGGAAATTTCGGGGCAGGGCCGGGGCCGAGAAATTAATCCCCGTTGCCGGCCCGAAAATCATCGGGGATGTATTTTTCAATACCAACCCTGGCCCTACGGGGAATAATTTTCGAGAAAAAACCTATTTATCGGGACGGGGCAGTCCGGGTCCCCGTCGGGCCAGGTTGATATTGTCATCCCTACTCAGAAGAGGACTATCTAGAGAAGTTGAAGATGCTCCCTGTTTGGCACGGAACTAATCAAGAATCCCTTCACAAGGTCCCTAGCAAGGGAGGTGTTTGTGGAGCTGTCTAATGATGAACTTCGGGTAGCCTGGATCAAGATGAAGAAGAGAATGGCTTATTTATGGCCCAACATTGCCTTATCCCTTATTCAGTATATTAGCCTTTAGTTATAACACTCACACTTCTTAGTGTGTGATTTTGTGGTGGTGGTTGTATTATGTGTTTTGTAGACAGTTCCTTTTATTTGATGTATGGAGAGTATCTTTAAGCTTTCATTTGGGATGTGGGCTAATTTTTTGGTTTTTTTATTTTTTGAAACTTGGGATTAAAAAATCTATTTTGAGATGGATTTTTTGACTTTTTTGACTTTTGTGAGAGAAAAAATGAAATGATTACGGTTTGGATGTAACATTTTATCTTATTGGGCTAAAAAGCTTACCTTATCTTTTTGTAACTAAAATAACCCCAACTCAACCCAAACCTTCATGCCAAACAAACCCTAAGGAACTCATGTTGTTAGTTATCGTATCTAGTATTATTATATTTTAATTACTTCAATGAGTTAGTTACTACTTCATCTGTTTCAAAATATTAGTCTTTTATTCTATTTTTTATTGTCCCAAAATATTAGTCTCTTTTTAAAAATCAAAGACTAAAATAATATGAATTTCCTATTTTGCTGTTTTTTTAAATTCATTAATAATATAAAAAGTACAATTATGACAATTGATATTTCCCAAAAAAATGTACTATCAAAGGGTAATTTTGAAAAATCAATTTTTTCAAAATGCAATAATTGTACTACAAAAAAAACTTAATTTCCCCCAAAAAGACTATTATTTTGGGACGAGGGAAGTATAATAGTTATTTTAACAAAATTTGTGAAGGCTAGTTACATTTAAAAAGTTTTGAGAGACTCTTTAAATAATTTGTGTGTATAGATAAATAAAATAAAGAGTAGTATTGAAGTACATAGAAAAAAAAAAGAATTAGGTAGAATAAAGAATTATCATTTTTATATTTTTGCTAATAAAAAATGAAAAGTATAATTAGAAGGGAAAATTGGTCTAACATCCCTCCTCAACTTTTAGTAATAGGAGAGGTCCACGATAAATTTTTTTATAGTCTAAGGTCCCTCACCCATACCCATATATAACACTCATTGTCTCATTCTCTCTCATCTCTCTTTTTGCACCAAACAACCCCTCTCTCTCTTTTCTTCGTCCTCAACATTCTTCGGAGCTTCACCACCGCCCCAACATTATACACAGACTTTGAGATCAAATGCATAGATATATATATACACATACTTTGAGATCAAATGCATAGATAGAGAGAGAAAGAGAACACAGGTAATTGCTTCCTCCTTGTTCCAATACTCAGCATCCACCTTACACTTCTCAAAGAAATCAGCAACCTTGTTGCTCGATTCATCATCGTTGTTAGGATCGACATGGAAACCCGAGACCCCATCAACAATAATCTCTGCCGGTCCTCCTTGATTGGTCGCAAAAGTTGGTATGTTTTTTTTTTTTTTTTTTTTTTTTTTTTTTTTTTTTTTTTTTTTTTTTGTCTTTTGTTCAATTTTGTCTGGTTTGATCAAAAACACAAATTTTCTCTACACAATTTTCTCTGGATAGAGCCATATAAGGCCACACAAATTTTTTCTACACAATTTTCTTTAGATAGAGCCACACAGAGTCACACAAATTTTCTCTAACACAATTTTCTCTGGATAGAGTCACACAAAGCCACACAAATTTTCTCTAGCATAATCTTCTTTGGATAAAACCACACAAAGCTACACAAATTTTCTCTACACAATGTGCTGCCAATGCGAGTCACTAAAATCAGCATCTCCCTCAAACATTAAGGTGAAATCCACTTCTATAGTGAAGTAGAGGGACTAACCAACTATTTGTAGTTCTATTTAATAAGCCAACTATACTCTTAAGTTGATTCTTGTCTGCTTGAGAGTTATCCCCCGATGATTGATCTATTATCTTTAAGCAGAGAAAATCTCTTTATTGCCAATAAATGCTTCGGTAAGGTATTCTCTGTTATTTTGTAAACAATGTAAAATTAAAGACGTCATTACAGAATGCATATTTTCTACCAAGAGGAAGGTCGGGGTTGACTTTCAAAGCATTTTAGTATATTTGGTAATCTCCATGTTAGCTAATTTTGGTTGGATCAATTTGTAAGTTATATACCCAGTATAGCACTGCAAGCACATAGATTGGGGTCAAAGGTATCTCTATTGGTGTGCTAGCTACTTTGTATATACTTCTGTGGATTTGTATGAGAGATAGAGAATTGAACAAGAAGAAGAAGAGGAGGTTGTATGGACTAAGACTAAAAATTGAAGACAACAAAGTTGTATGCGCTTACCAGGCAGTGATGTTATATACCCAGTATAGCACTGCAAGCACATAGATTGGGGTCAAAGGTATCTCTATTGGTGTGCTAGCTGCTTTGTATATACTTCTGTGGATTTGTATGAGAGATAGAGAATTGAGCAAGAAGAAGAAGAGGAGGTTGTATGGACTAAGACTAAAAATTGAAAACAACAAAGTTGTATGGGCTTACCAGGCAGTGATGAGCTTGCAATTATCAAAGACCATTATCAAAGACCTATACC